ACCTGCGACACACCGTTCATGACCAAAGGACAAGAGGTCATACCGAAGAGCAGCGTGAAACTACTAGGGGTGGTCATGGGCACAAAGCCGGTCCATGGAGCAGATGGCTAGAGCGGCCGCCAAACGGCTCACGGCCGCATGTCTTTGCGAAGACTGAAGATGATATCCCTGCAAATGGCGAGAAAACTGTTTGTCGCGACGGTAGCGCCAACCATGCACTCCGCCTCTAGTGTGCGGATGCACACGTGCGGCGTGAGAGAGGCGGCTTAGCTAGATAGGGCCCAGATGGTTGGGGAACAGGGCTGTCACGGAGCCTCCGGCACAGTTGCAGCGGTGATAGCCGAGGCTGAGGCCGGCATCGCATCGTTTCGAGAACGGCACGGTCAAGTCGCGGCGAGGTTCTAGATCGGCCTGCGGACGCCCCAAGACGCATCCTCTGGCATCATCAAAGGTCAAAGCGAGCAAGCGACTCGTCTCGTCGATGCGAAGGATTGCCTCGATGATCGCGGAGTCAGACACAGAGCGAATGGAGATCATCCACGAGTACTCTCTGGCACCACGGAACGACCGCGTCGTGGGCGAGCGGGATCAGATACAGGTGGTCAAGCCAAACGACGTGGAAGGTATCGTCGTCGCCACTTCCAGCTCGCAGAGGAAGGAGGTGTCGTTCACGACACTAGCCTCAACAGCACGAGCGAGGTGCTGGCCAGCTACTCGGTCACCCTCGGATCGAGGGATGAGCAGAACCCGTACATAGCAGAAATCGCGGCAGTGGCAATGGCGCTGGCCAGCTGGACTGCGTCACCGAGATTTGACGATCATGACGAGCAACTGCTCGGTATTGGAGGTAATCAGGCGGGCACGCCAACAGTCTGGCCAGTGCACAATCCTACAGATATACGACCGCATCGATGCAACAGAGTCCGGGTGGGCGAAAAATATGCCTGTCAAACGATTGTCTACATCTTTTCGAACCCGGCACCAGAAGCCCTCATTATGCAGCTGACCAACCAGTGTTTGGATGCTGCTCTGGCCTTGATGTAGGTCTCTTCTCGTCGCCGCAATCCAATTATAAATGTCTTGTTGGCCGGCAAGAGTACTCGAATGGCTATGAAGATATGTTATGATATCCCGAGGAGCACTACCAGACGCCACAAGATCTGAAATATTGGTAGCGTCGCGCTCTTCGAGTCGGCGATGCACTGGGTGTGCCGACGGGTCCCCGCTTGGTGAGTGGTTGTGCTCAGCGCACTCCTTGTCTGGTCGATGGCTGAGAGTCCAAGTGTGTCCATCTAGTGACTCTTTAGCTAATATTGAGAACTTGCAACCCGTTTTGCGACTAGAGGTTTGGCGTGCTCGTTCGACTGTGTCGGTCGGTGGCAGTCTGTTCCGGTCGCGGGCGCACACTATTTTGACCCTCCCATTTGGAGTCTTCTTCTCACGAAGAGAGCATGCAAGTGGGCATTGATTGTGTAACAATAGGGGTGATGTGTTGTATTTCCTTGTGTCTGCGTCCTCCTTTTCAATGCCCTCTTCTAGGCTCCCTATTTATATCCCTTGGTTCCCTATTGATATCCCCTTCTCAGTTGTATAGGTACAATATCTAGGGGCCGGGCTCCTTTCCCAGCCCCCTTTGCATACTGACTTTCCCTAGTCGCCGAGGGCTCTTTCAGCTTCACCCGTATATGCAGTCTCTCTACAGCTTGTGTGGCTGCCTAATGCGGTCTCCTAATAGCCTTCTGCAGCCTCAGAACTCTCTGCAGGCTGCCTTTCTGTCTAGCCTGTCAGGGCCCTTAGCTGTATACCCTTATGGTCACCCTGAGCTCAAGATCTCAGACGTGCTTCGCGACACTTCTGGAGGCGGTGATGGCCGAGCGGATTTCCTTTCCGATGGAAACGTTTGGGCTGTTGCCTACTAACCGCTTTGGAGCCAGGAAGAGGGGTTCCGCAGAGCAGGCTCTCGTGCTCCTACAAGAGAACATTTACAAAACATGGCGAATGGGAAAAGTGCTTGGTCTTGTGAGCTTCGACGTAAGGGCGCATATAACGGAGTGTTCAAAAACAGGCTTCTACAACGGCTCGCAGCGAGAGGCTTGGCAGATGATCCTGGATGGGTCGATCGTCGTCGAAGAAGCAGGCCTCAGGAGCTCCCACGTCAAGGCATATCAGCACCGTGGAGAGCTCCTGCTAGGCCTGTACCTGTACGACTACGTATCGCTCGTCAGACTCAAACGCGATAGCAACGACGGGAGCTGTGCAGGTTGGGAGAGGCCCTGTCGAGGATGGGCGACCGCCAGGAAGACGTTGGGTTCAGGTGCTCAGGCGGCCGGGAAAGCAGGCCACCGTCCGCCTTCAAATACCTGAGCAGGGACTTTGCCCACGACGATGAGGATTCGTGTCATCGGGGGATTGTGCGGAAACCGTTTCGCCGGCGGATATGGGAGATCCCAATTTTTTTTCACCATTGAAAGGCAGCCGTGCAGCAGCTTGCGCTAACTTCTTTGTACCATGGGAGTTCTTCCTGTGCGAAGAAATGGGCGACATCAACAGCATCCGGGCGCGGGCGCGAAAGGCGCTGGCTCCGAGAATAGGATGTCTCATCAATAACGTGCAACTGCTTCGACGACCAGCCGAGGACGCAGAACGCGACGCCAAGCGATGGGCATCCTCCTCCGGAGATGGCCATCCGACGGTCGGACACGTGGGGACGGACGATGCGGGCGCAGAATCTACAGTGATGTATCAGTCTAACAGCATCGGAAACGCAACGCGGCTGATCGACGTTGTCCGAGGTGCAGTGGACTCGAATTAGATGGCGGCTAAGTCGCCGAGCTCATGGCGATGATGCAACAGCTCTGTCGGTTCCAACAATCCGTGCTGTGCTCGACGGCCGAGCTGGAGCCCGCCGTGGTTACCCGAACGTGGTAGGTAGGTAGGATTTATTTCGCCCGGAGGGAGGTCCCTATAAGGCCTTTACACAGTCTAGAGTACAGTTCCGCACGTTTGTTCCTTGACTCCCAAGCCCCACAGATCATCTTACGCTGCGCCAACCGTACCACTGTTTTGCTCCATGACAGACCTGCTTGAAGGTCAATTTCTCCAAGTGTTCAGCATCCTATTCCCAGCAACTGAAGCGCGATGTGTCGAAGTTGAAGCGTGGTTGTGTTAGTCATTGATGGTGGTTGGTACGCCGATTGTGTTTTCTCATGACGCTGTTCCCTGTTGACGGGCGGGAACCCGGGTGTGCCCTGTTTCACCAGGGGTGCCTCCAGCCGGCTTCGAACCGACCCTTCTGCGACGCAGAGGCTCCAGACGTGTCACCACTACGCCATGGAGGCACCCGAACGTGGGGCGAGACGGATAAGTATGTAGGGGCGGGTATTTTCCGGGGCCGCACTACCACCGCAAAATCAGGTCAGGGCCATCAAGTCGCAGCAGATGAGTGCTTCGAAGGAGAGGGAGAGGATGATCCATGGCATACCGTTACAAGATATAACCGTGGTCCGGGAAGGCGACCGCCGCGCTGCGCTGCATCGCGGAGAGTCATGGCCGGCCACGGGGAGGACGATGTCGAAATGGCGACGGCCGACTTGACTTCGATGAGACCGCAGACGACGCAGAGGCGGGAATGCAAGCCCAATTTGGCCTATCAGCCCTTTCTCGGCGACGGGCAGAGAGTTGGCAACACGGCTGACAAAACGCAGTCGATCGCTTTCTCAATCATATGCCACCAGTTCTGCCAGTTCGTCGGCGGTTTCGAGGGCGGGACCGGTGAGTCGCAAATCATCGAGGCATTCGTTGAGTTGTTCAGTAGGTGGAGCCTTTCGAATCGTCTGCTGATCACGGCGACGTCAGGGACTGCCGCAGCGCGGATCAACAGTATCAATCCACTCCAGGTTCTCCAGACCAAGGGGCGGCCGCGAACACGGCCAGGGATGTCGACGAGGTGCGACTGACAAGCAAGCTTTCGGATGGATTGGCAAGAGAATGACGCGCTGGTCATAGCGGAGAATTGTTGCAACCCCACGATAGAGTGATGGTGAAGCCAAGAGATTGGCGGAGTGGTTGGCATGACCGGATTACCAACTGTTGTAGAGACGAGTTGCGGGGTGTCGCTCCTACACCCTTCCGCTGCTGTCTGGTTTGGGGCAGCAATGCTACTCGGCGCCAGTTCACTTTCTGGCTGCAGTGAAGACAATGTTGCTTATCAAAAAGGGGTGCAGTCCTTATAGCTCAGTACTACCAAGCAGCCAGAAATGAGGGTGCTGTCAGTCGCCTAAGATAGAGGACTTGCTGCACTGTTGTGAAGCCAGAATCGGCCGCAGGTACGGTAACAGGAACCTAGGCATCCATGATCGGCGGAAGTGTCTAGGAGTGACACCCCGCGTTTTCTGTACCCAACCTTCTCCCCCGAACTTGTGCGACAGCTGGTAATTTGGCCCTACAATCATCCGCGAACCACTTGGGTTCACCAGCATTCCATTGCATCGTCTGAGAGGAGTTGGAGCCGGCCCAATCCCTCCATAGTTTTATTTTGCCACACAAGGTTCAATCCTCAGTTCCGAACCCCCTCCGGGCTGCTATACTTTCCTCGTTGAGGCCCCACGGGCCTCCGCGGGGGACGGGACGACGAACTGGGTCTTGACGAAGCAAGGTGGCTTCAGTTCGTTCTTCGGATGTACCCCAAACGTAGAGTGACTCGACCTGAAGGATTATCAGAGTGTGTCACGACATGGTTGTCGTCCAAGGTCGCCGGGTCTTAGGTTGGCCCGTCCATCTCACCCACGCCAGCGGATGACACGACGACAGAAGAACCTTCTTCTTCCGACCTGACACCGACTCAGAGGCATGAACCTCCACGAGGTTGCACTATATGACCTCATCCATCGCCACCGAGACTGGATGGCCCACTGACAATCACCCACAGTCCCTCTCTATAGGAAGTCCCAGATTAGTACCTCTCCACTCCAACTCCCAAGCCCGCAAGGTATCAGGCAAGCATGGGCTTCGACCTCCACACCGGCGAGACCAACGACCCGAAGAGTGTGCGCAACTGGTGCATCCATATGATGGCCAACATTGCCTCCATGTCCGCCATCGCCAGTAATTCGCCTAAGACTGCGCGCGCCTGAAGAGTGTTGCTAACAATTCCGCACGTACCAATGCATCCATCAGTGGGCTACGACACGTCTGTTATTTCGGACACCATGGCTCTAGACTCGTTCCGCCTCGACATTGGTCTCCTCTCAGCGTTGGGCACGTATCGTGACACTCTGTGAGGCAACATCGTGTCCACGTTCCAAACCGGGTTCTTCTTCGGCTCGCAGCTGACCTTCCCACTCGCCTAGAAAATTTGGTCGGAGAAAGGCCATCTTTGTCGCCGCGACTGTCTTCGTCACCGGCGGTGTGTTCACGACGGCGGCAACGGCTTGCTCGCCATGCTCATTGTCGGATGTGCCGTTGCCGGTCTTGGAATCAGGGCATCGCCGCTGATTGTGCCCGTGTATATTGCGGAGACGGAGATTACGTCTCAGGGAGGTGACATGCTAGGATTCTGGGTAAGACTCAGGAAAGCAAAGCACAGAGCGGCAGTGGTGATTCTGACACGTCAAAGATCAACTGCGCCTGTGACCTCCTCGTTCAAGGCCGCCCAGTGGATCGTTCCCCTTGGCCTGCGGCTCGTCCGCGGTGCCCTCCTTCTCTTGGGCATGCTGAAATGCCCCGAATCGCTGCGATGGCTGGCGAACCACGACCGTTGGGGAGAGGCAGAGAAAGTGTTCGTCGGCCTCCGCGCCCTGCCCGCCGACCCCCAATACATCCGAGGCGAGCTCTCCGAGATCCACCAGTAGGTCGAGGAGCGCACGGCGAACCGCATGACGTTCCACGAGATGTTTAAGCGCCCCTTCCAAAGGGGGTAACCGCGTCTCCGTTGGCATGTTGCTCTTGGTATGCCAGAACTTCCCCGGCGTCAACATTATTACCTACTGTACGCTCCCGATCTCCGTCTGTGTCAGTTGTTAGTGTACGCTAGGCTGACTTGGCAGACTCACCTCGCATCTTCGAGACACTTGGCCTCGCAGGACCATCACCAGGCTCTTCGCTGCAGGCTTATAGCCTTTGTATCTTTTTCGTTCCTGCTTCTCAACGCCTTACTGCTCCGAACTGGCAGGACGTGAAGTTTCAACCAAACAAGCTACTAACTAACTATAGTGTCGCATTCAGACCCTTCCGGATCAAGACGCAATGGATGTTGACGACACGATACCTCACCGCACCGCCGTCGCGCAGGTTTCGCTTTCGTTCTTGTCAGTTAAAACTGACAGGTTGCAGTGGGTGAAAAGGATTATTGATTGTCTGTCTAAATGATGGTAAGAAGTTTGCTTTTATACCAGTAGTGCTTTGTTTTGCCTTAGGTGGCGATGTTGCCACTTGCCACCTAGGCTGCTTAGGTGACGTTGTTATCTAGAACGTTCAACACCATCGCTTTAATCCTTAGTAATGTGACAGCGACATTATTGCGCAGTTCATCCAACAGTTCTACAAGCCCTCCGCGCAGGACCCCTGCCTGCGTTATGGCATGACGAGGCTGAGAAGCTTGGCACTTGGGCCGTTGAGCACGACGATATTCTGAGGAATTTCTCACGACGGAGCGCAAACGAAAAGAACCTCACGCTTCTCTCCAGCGTCGTAAGGCTTTAGGAGATCGCCAATTCGGACTCGCTACTATTGCAAGGAACCGTACTTTAGCAGGGATGAGCCCGGAGAGGACGGCGGGTTTCCTTCCCCTACTCCAAATACATCTAAAAAAGCGGTGCCGTTGGGACCAGACACGGGTGGTGGTGGGAAACAAGGATGACACCGAGGCAAAAATCAGTAGTTGGGCCCAGCGACGGAAGCGGGCCAACGGCCTGGCCTGTCTTTATTAGGCTTATTCCACCCCATAATTCTCAGTTCCAAGAAGTGATACTAGAGACTAATTGAACGAAGGTAAATAGCCATCTGTCGGGTAAGAAATGGCAGCGATAATTTATTTGGCTTTCAAAACATTTGTTTAACGCGCTGCGCGAAAAAATGATACAAAAACGCAGGAGCCCATCGCCGAGGCAACAACTGTTGCGATTGAACTTACTTCTATTCAATTCTGTCTGACAGCTCTCAACATACATATATACATAGTGGCACGTCCGTGCCACTATCCAGTGACTCACCACTTGTAAGTGCTGCCTAAACATGTCTTGGTCCATGTCTCATATCAAGTCAACAACAACCCCGTTGATATTTTTCAAGAACTTCCTATTGTTCGGATCCTCTTAGTCATTGCTGTTGGTACAAGGCAAAGGAGCGAAGATAGGGTTGTCTCGGCATAACCTAGATATTCTATCGCACGGAGGATGAGCAAGTGAGCATAAAGATCAGGGACTGGAAGACTCTTGATTCTTCTAACTTCTATCTAGAGCGTAGCATGGGCTGCATCTTTATAGGCGATGCGAGTGAACAAACTAGAACCTGATGGAAGGTTCTGTGACTGTTAAGCTGGTGACTACTGTGCGAGTCAGGGTTTCAGTCTGTTGGAGGCTGATGTACCCTGTGTGACATATTCTATTCGGACTTGGTATCCATGCCGAAATGGCCCGATCTTCCCATCTCCTTTTCCCACACTACCTGACCGAACTCATCCACGACGAGCTCTTCGGCCTCTTCCAAGGCCCGTTTGCCCCGGAGATCGTCAGTAGACGCCCAGGTTGGCTTCCAAATGACCTTATATTCGATGGATCCGTTCCATGCCTTTCGTACCTCCCCCAAGCGTAAAAAGTCGTATTCCTGAGTGGTGCAAGTCGCAATGCGCTTCTTTTGAACACGATACGAAACAGAAGCAGCAGCGCGTGGCGCAGACTTCCTCTTACGCCTGCTTCGGCGCGGCTTGGTTACCTCGGACTTTTACAAACTGTGATCGCTTCGGGAAGCACCTGCTGCGTGTGATGGGCACTCAGGCTCGATCATTACGTTCTCTGCAAAATACTGTAAGAACTGCAAGTGCAGGTTGTCTGCGAGAGAACTCATAATACCTTGATTTGCCAAAACGCTACGCTGATGTGTCTTAGTTTGCTCACTGACGACCCTTTCGCACTCTGAGGAAAGAGACTGAAGACGGTTGGCGTCCATTGTTGGGCCTATGGTAGGTGCTGGGGATTGCGCGAGGCATGAGGTTGTCCCCTGCATCAATGTCTCTGGGCCCGTCGAATTGACAACGGGAACGCCAAACTTGACGTCGGGGGTTTCATCAGGCTCCGAGATGGTCTGAATGGGTTCACTTGTGCTTCCTGATTTGCTGCTGGAGCCAGAGTTGCAGCTCCTTGAACTGGACGGCGAGGGAGACGGGGTCGAGGACGGGAAGTTCCACGTGACTGCAGAATGGTGGGATGAGTGACCTTGACTCGGAGGGCCAGCGGTATGTCTTCTTCAGAGTTATCCGGTCCATCTTCACAGTGGTCACGTAGGAAACAAAGATATGGAAGAAAAGTGTTAGATGGTGAGGAATCCGGGGAATGGGGAATCCGTGACCCATTTATAGACAATCTGAGCCCCCCATGCCCTCAGCTATTGAGTAACGAGAAGAGGAAGACGGGGGCCAGCTTTGCCGAAGTCATCACTGTGACGTATCAGTGCCTCCTTCCCAAGGCGCAGCCCTTCCACCCACCTTGAGAGTCGTGGGCGGTAAGGGACAAGCTGGGGACAAGCTGGGGACAAGCCGGGGACAAGCCGGGGACAAGCCGGCAATGCCAACAGCCCCCTTGTCCCTTTCCACTCTCCACTCTCTTCCCTCTCACTGGTCTGGTCACCAGCCCTCCTCTTCCTCCACGAGCATCGCTTCTCCTGCCCCGAGTTGAGTTGCATCGCAAAGCTGCAGCAGAGTAGGAGCAAGCACCCAGTCTCAGTGCGCGCCCGGGAAGCAGCTCGCCCAGGTAAGATCACCGGACCACATACCCCATAAACGTCACCTTTAGAATAGTCCGTCGTTGGGCGCCCTGGCACGAGCCGCGGCGAGGAAAGCTGTACCCGAAACTCGTACGATTCGACATAGCCTGCGAGGTTGAGGAAGGATCATTCTACCTTCATGCGGACACTGGAACAGAGTGAACCAAAATGGTGTTCTGTTGAAGTCATGTAGGTAACAGTACAACTTGCAAGGCGCGTTCTGTCCCTGAAGAATATGTCGATATGACTCGCTCGCGTAAGTCAACTTCGAGAGGGAGACGAGGGCAAAATTTGCCCATGAAACGATGTTGGTGCTCATGTACGGAGTTGCTGACTTCAAACTTCAACGCATTTCTTCCGCCTCAGTAGAGTCAACAAGCTTTACTCAACGACTCTACCTATCTCTTAGGGCGTAAGTTTGACAAGGTAGAAGAAACGACTCTCCAAGCTCTACCCCGACTATAGGGCTTCAAGTGGCCAAAGCGACTTACACTACTGTCCGCTACCCAGAGCCCGCTCAATGGGTGGTTATCGCTCTTGGGTGAAAAATGGCATACCTACGCTACGGCCGAATTATCAAAGTGTTTGATCTCTCATGTTTATCAATGGTGGAAGCTCTCATAAGCTACTAAAGCATACTAGTGTTTGTCCTTTCTGAGGCAACCTCTTCGCTTTGACAGTCTGACTTGGCTCCTGTGACTCTTGGAGGAGCACTGCCGTCTTTTTTGCCATCGCCAGACCTATTGAAATCCGAAGGCGTTCTCCTCACCGCAGGCGGATATAGCTTCTCCTGAATCGGCAATCAGCGTTGGGACTTGTCTGCGAACAGGTCCACCCACGAGGTCAATAGTAGCTGGGAAAGACGAATCGTTCGTAGAATTATAGTCATAGGTTTTAAGTTTTCGTCGCACAAGTATGTAGACGTCAGCATCATATCGACGGCTTATTTGGTGGCATCTCTTCATAATACGTGACGTCGCCCTTGAAAAATTGTCCCATGTTCTGTCTCGCTTCGATGCCGGATTCATTCCCGATATTGTAGACCGTCTAGATTTCAGAGCTTTCGCCGCCGTCTTTTCATGGATAGCGGTCTTTAAAACCTTGCTCTGCAACATTAAGTAGCCATTTGCTGCTCAAGGTCGCCATGATCTTGTCTATATGTCGGCTGTGCTCACTACCTAATGCCGTAGTACATACTGCCTGCTAAGATCTGCGTTTTCAACACAGGTGATTTAAGCAAGTGGTCCGGGCATTCCAGGCAACACAGCCAGAATAAGCCAATGGTACATACGCAGTAACATGAATCCTGCTCTTCTTCGAAGGTATGACTTCACCACACGACGGCTATGCACCATTTACGCTGCTTGCAGGGCTTGTCACACAACAAGAGGCACGGACAGTATGGATGACTGAGCAACGATCGGGAAGGAGATCCCCTGTGAATCGGGCAACGAAAGACTCTTGATTCTCTATCTAAGTGATGGTGAAAAATTGGCTTCTTATACTTGTGATTTTGGGCTGAGTGGCGATGTTGCCACCCAGGCAGCATAGATGACGACGTCACCTAGAAGGTTCGAATCCATCACTAATATGGCATTACGAACTGCTTGCTGCCTGTTAGGCAGCACAGTGAATGAGCGTTCCGATCTTGCCGCTGCTTGTTCATTCGCTATACCATAGTTACCCCACAGTTATGCAATGTCGGTACAGCTGGGTATAATTGTGAGGTTTTGTCGGACAGTAGTGTCCACACCTCGCACGCGACAGCGGTTGATCTTTGTGGCATCAGTCGCTTCTTGTTCTTTAGATAATTCTCATCAATTGACTAATGCCACAAAGATCAACCGCTGTCACGTGCGAGTGTGGGACACTG